AGCCTCCAGTCCCCTAATCATCTTTGTTGCTCTTCTCTGTACTCTTTCTAGAGTCTCAACATCTTTTTTACATCGTGGTGACCAAAACTGGATGCAGTATTCCAAGTGTGGCCTTACCAAGGCATTGTAAAGTGGTATTAACACTTCACGTGATCTTGATTCTATCCCTCTGTTAATGCAGCCTAGCACTGTGTTGGCCCTTTTGGCAGCTGCAGCACACTGCTGGCTCATATTTAAATGATTGTCCATTAGGACTCTGAGATCCCTCTCACAGTTACTACTATTGAGCAAGGTACCCCCTATACTATACCTGTACATTTGGTTTTTCTTGCCTAAATGTAGAACCTTGCAATGGGGGGGAGCTATATCTTAATTATGTCATGCTCTTCCTATATTGGTTTGGGTATTTTCTGCTTGTTTGGTTTGGTTTAACACACTTATTTTAAGATGCCACATCTTATAGGGACATGATTCTTCACTTGTCAAGATAGGATCAGAAACATGAACTGTAATGTCCAGACAGGTGGCAACACAGGTGAGGACTAGCAAATGAAACTCATTTTGGAGGAAATGTTTATTCCTTTAATGTACGTCTTACTTTTTCATCCCACCTTTGCCAATTACACTGTTTCTCTTTTCTTTAAGCTTCACAACAAACTCATAACCTTCTGAGATAGATTAAACAGAATAGCTGATTGTTTCAAGAGCATCCAAGTAGGCTTTGTCACTGAGAATTTAGGGATGTACATCTGTTTAGTTCCAAAATGGCAAAAGTGCTGCAGCAGAGGAATGGACATGCTTCCTGTACCAGCCGACGCCTCCTTACAGGAACCACACCTTTTTCTGCCCCACACGGTAGCCATTCAGTTTCAAGAATTTAACGTGTGTTCTTGAAACTGAATGGCTGCCACGTGAGCCAGAAAAAAGGTACGAGTCTTCCTGCTTTAAGTCTATGCTCCAAAAATGACAGCTTGGGGGCTTTTGTTTTGTGTGACATGCGTCACATCCATAGCTGGCTGTGCCTGTTGATTACGCATTTTGGAAAGGTATTCTTTTGGATGGTTTTTGATGCCACTTACCTGTAGCCTCTGCAACCGGGCTTCTTTACCCACAAGATCTGGCAGCAGTTCTTTTTCTGCACTTAGCTTGACTCTGAGAGCAGATAACTGTGTTTGCAGAAGCTTGAAGGATGCATCAAAGTCTTTATGCTGTGATACCAAAGCCTAGCCAGAGAAAAAAAGCTGATTTCATGCCACTCCTGAGAGCATGAATAATAATAATAATAATAATAATAATAATAATAATAATAATAATAATAATAATGCTTTCTGCCAACTCACAACACAGACCTGTGAGTACATCAGCATTAAAATAACAATCTGTCTGAAGTAAAAATTGAATGGTGTATTAATCATTGTAGTTGATGATGTATCAATCACTGCACTATTAAATCACAATTCTTCTTCTTGCCAGCTGACTTTTTAGAAGAAGCTTACCTGTAACCTGCTTTTCCTCTGGAGTAGCCCTTTGTGCAGGTTTTCTAATTCCTTTGTAGCATCACCAACCTCCTCCAAGAGTAACTTTGCTCTCTTCTCTTTGAAAATATTACCTAGGAAATCATTTTTCATCTGGACTTTCAGGAGTTGTTCCTTAAGATGGGAGCTTTCAACCAGAAAGATCTACAAATGAAAATATTTGATTGTTATGCATTTATGTCAATCGTTTTTATTTTCCCCAAACAGGAATAATTAGAATAATAATTTTTAAAAACCTAATTATAACTCAGAAATACTATTAAATAGGTTTATCAGCATGTAATTTATAACAACATATAAATGTAGCAGTATAATATATATTTAGCTACAAATATCAGAATAGCGCAGCAA